AGTCTCCAGACCTTTCAGTCTGCTGTTCTTCCTTGATCTGTCTCCTCATTTCATTCGGGTTTCCCTCCCCCCGCTTTTTTTTTTTTTTTTTGCATAGGCTGCCTGATACTTCCCATCCCTCTGTCTCCAAACTAGTGGATTACGGAGAAGACATATTTGCAGTACGTTGTAATTATTTGTTACTTAAAATTAGAGTAATTTAATTTTCTTACTCAGGTCTTCAGATTTTACAGAGTTTAACCTTAATTATAAAATATGCAAGTATGTGTTGGGTGGGAGAGACAGGGGAGGGAGGGAAGTTGGGTGTTTTCAAGTTAAACCCTAAAATCCTAGGATCTTAAATTGTGACTCATGGACACAAATCAGGACTGCATTTGAGAAGGAAGCCAAGGCTCTATCCACAGTCTGTAGTGACCAAATGTTTTCAATCCCACTACAGGCAGAGATTGGGTTTAGTCACAGAGACCCCTTCTAAAACTACTGGATCCTAAATCCAGAGAGTGCCTCTTGACGACAGCAGGGCTCCAGAGGGGGGATTTGCTTTTAGGAGCACACCAATGCGAATGTGCACTTGAGTCAGGGCTGTCTCTTAGGGGGGAAGATACATTGTCCAGGTTGTCCTGGGGTAAAGCAAGCAGAAAACATAGTGTGTTTGATGAGCTTTACCTAAGTACTGCACTGAGATAACAGTCAGAGTAGACTCTAGAAGCTCATCTTCTAGGCAGCCTTAGCTATTCCCCAAGCCACAGGTGAACCTTTCTTGGCAGAGGTGCAGAGAATGCTTGGTTGATAACGATTGCTCACTGCTAGGTTGTCATTCCAGAGGCACTTATGCCAGTGTTGTTGAGAAGTAGAAAACAGCACATATTGGTGTAGTTAAGCCTATACTGCTGGTATGGAGTTCCACATGGTAGTCTAGATGAGCATATTACCAGTTTGGATGTGGAGTCACTTCTTGCAGCTAAAATCAAATTACCCTACTCCAGTGCACATAGAGCAGAATCTATGTATGTTGACAGATTAGATCTTAAATTACATTCTTAAACTGTCCAGAGGTTATTAGTCTGGAGGACATAATCAAAAAAAGCCATTCTCACAGCTTTGCTCTTCCCTTATTTTTTCCAGTTCATGCAACAGTTTGTCATCAGGCACTCCCTGAAAACACAGGCCACCCTTTATCAAACAGGATAACTAACCCCTTACTGTGTTGTGGAAAGTCTGAGATAGTCCTTGTGGGAACTTACAGAGCAGGGCTAGTCAGCAGGGGCCTCATCTCAGAAACATTCAGGGGTTGGGGGGGCAAAGTTGTGTCAGCATATATAACATTATATGTGGTTATATTGTATCCTACAGAGGCAGGGAGTAGACGACATAATGGAGCCTATAGACCTATGGAAAGTCTGGCAGGGAGCAGAGGCAACTGCCCCATAGCAAATGATGCCCCTGCTGGTAAGTATCAGAAGATGTAAATGTGTTTTTACAGCTTCACAGAAAGGTACAGATTTGGGGAGAGGGGAGAACCCAGGATCAGTGTTTTGGGCAGCTGTGCACACCGGGCTATTCTGATGTGTAAATTGAGCATTTGGATAATTGTCCAAGCCATGGGTGCCTCCTTCCATGGGGGAAGAGAATGATAAACCAGTGAGGCCTGTTTTGTTTTGTTTTTCCCCTTTGGACAGGATAATGTGCAAAGGGTTGAGACCTATTCCCTGGCTAGTGCACAAGGAGACAGGACCCAAATGCACATTGCACAGGAGTCACAAGTGCTTCTGTAAGAATAACCCAAGATGGGAACCTTCAAGCTGCAGCAGAATAAGCAGCTGGTTCCTACATGTCCTGTTCTTCTCCAAACCAGTTCTGTGGAGAGACTCACTGTGCTGGTCCCATTGTTCCAGGATAAGACCCCCAAAATCTAGACCCCCTCCAAAATGCCATAGAGATTGGCTGTTGCAGACCCGGTCCTCAGGGGATCTTTTGCCTTCTGTAATTTATTCTGTAACGCAGGTGTCATAAACAGACAGTTAAGGGTTAACTCCTCTTTTACCTCTAAAGGGTTAAGAAGCTCACATAACCTAGCTGACACCTGACCAGAAGGACCAATAAGAAAATAAGATATTTTAAAAGAGGGAGGAGGGAAATCAGTCTTTGTCTGTTCTGTAAGTTTGTGCTGGAGTGAAAGATCCAGGAATCAGCCTAATTTGTTAGGACCTGATTTGTGTCCTAACAGGGTAGTAAGTATTAGAGAAGGAATGTATTAAATTACTTTTATTTTCTTTTGTGACTTATTTTTGCATAAGAGGGAGAATCAAATTGGGTTTCTTTTGGATAACTAAGGTTTTGCCCAGAGGGACATCCTCTGTGTTTTGAATCTGTTGTCTGTGAGATTATCTTGCATGTTAATCTCACAGAGGTATCCCTTTCACCCTTTCTCTTTAATTAAAAAAGTCTTCTTTTAAAAACCTGATTAATTTTTCCTTGTTTTAAGATCCAAGGGGTTTGGATCTGGATGCACCAGAAATTGATGGGAGGTGAATCAGTCTCAATCCTGCCAGGAAAGGGGGATAAAGACTGGGGAAATATTTGGGGGAAGAGGAACTCCAAATGGTCCTTTCCCTGTTTATTGTTTAAATCATTTGGTGGTGGCAGCAACTAGACCTAAACTGGTAAATAAGCTTAAAGGAGTATTTCATGCAGGTCCCCACATCTGTACCCTAAAGTTCAGAGTGGGGTGACACCTTAACAGCAGATAAGCACAATACCCTCTTGAATTTCCTCTATGGTGTAAGGAAGAAGGAAGGGGTAGGAGCTGGGATAGTAGATCTCACAAGCCCAGTGTAGGGAGCTGCACTGATCCCAAATGCTCTGACAGCTCAGGAATGTGGTGTTATCTCAACTGCCCCAAACTCAGCTTATCTTTTATCAATTGGATGGGCCCGGAACTATGCAAATTCCCAGCTCACCAAGCTAAACATCTTTGGGTTACACATAGGACATAGGATTTTAGGGTTTAACTTGAAAACAATACATTATGTCTATGTCACATCTGTAAGAAGTTCTGTCTTCTCACTCCTGGCTGGGCAAAGCTGTCCAACTGTCCATGCCCCATTCTGGTCTCTGATCTGTGTGTGAGCTCTCTCTCTTCCCTCACACTACATCCTCATTTCTCCATCCCTCTTTCCTTCCTCTCATTCTCTTCTCCCCACCCACAGTCTTGCTACGGGATACAGACCTTTCTGAAAGTACATCAAGTTTCCCCTCCCCCACTTCACACACAATTTTGTCTGCCAACTCCAATCTAAAATTAACCTTAGGACAGTACATCACCTGCTTCTCATAACCAGCAACTTGCCTGGTCGGTGATTTGCAGACCTCATATGTCTTTTTGTGGCTGTTGTCAATCAAGGGTTGGTGAGTGATGGTGGGGAGTGAGCTGTCACTACCACTTTCTGCAATGACCAACCGTCTCTGCCATACATTACAGCCAAAATGCAGGGGGGAGGGGTAGGAAGGGGCACTGAACCAGGCTCACATGCCACCCCTATTAGTTAACCTAGTACCTCCCTCTTCCGGTGCAGGATTGCTCTCTACAATGTGTGTTGTCTAGTGAAGAATGAAGATGTCCCAAGTGATCAAGATTCCATCAGTTTCATGTGGAGACTATTTCATGGGATATTAGATCTCACAGCAGATCTGTCAGAGCAACACAGAAGTGAAGCAGACACTCTTCAGTGGTGTGTCTTCCCTTTCCCTCTCACCAACAGTGAGTTACTTATCCCCCACCCTCCTACAACATATGAGGGAGAGAAGGGGCAGCTACCACAAGGGAGAGGAACCACCATCACTATAAGATTTTCTGCAGGAACGTGGGATGGGGAGAGAAACCACCAGTCACCGATTGCCACTGAAGGGTCCTGGAACGGCTACATCTCCTGTCACCTATTGCAGTGAGGAACCAGTGAGCTGTAGGTCTCACTCCTCAGGAAGGGATAGGAAGCTACAGTCACACTGAGCAGGGGAAGTGTAGTCCAGTGGGGACTCATAGAGCAAGGGGGAGGAAAGGAAAGTGGATATGGTGGTGGTTGCTCTGAGAAGGGAAATCATTGACACAGGGGGTATTTGAGTGCTGCTGGGAACTTCTCTTCTCTGGAGGGTGCGTAATGGGGAGTGGCACCTGCTCATCACCAAGAGAGAAGGAAGAGGCTAAACAACACTGATGGTGGGAATAAAAGAAGAAAACTACTAACCCTGAGATGAATTGTATCCATCTACATGCTGCCAGGCAGAGCTTCGAAGCTTTGTTTGTGGTGGGGATAGATGGCAGCAGAAGCACCTCAGCCTTCCAGGCAACAAATCTGATGTTCTTGGGAGAGAATGGGGGGTGTGGACATTAGAGGTTAGTGGCATTAATCCCAGTGGTGAACAACTCCTGCAAAAGGAGGTTGATTTTGCTGTTCATTCTGCTGGTGCTTCTGGGGCAGATTTTCAAGAGAACTCAGCTTCCAGGGTGGAGTTTTTTGAAAATTTGGGCAAAAGTGTTATAGTGGGGGCTGCTAAGTATTGAGCTCTGAATATCTGACCTCAAGTCCCTAGAGTTTCCCAGGTTCTCACACATATGGAGGTGGGCCTTTCTGCCTTGAGAGAAGAAGAAACACACAGAAATGCATTGAAACAGAAAAAAAAACAGATTTCCCCAGAGAGTTTTGGGGTTTTTTAGAATGAGACCAGCATTGGCATCTGCTCTCACCTGCCCTGTTTGTAACCGTAAACACACAATCCCATCCCCAGCAGGCTGCACTTCAAAGGGTATTTTTACATTTATATTTACATTTTCAAACCTGGTAGGCTGGGTACATATTGTGAGTCCTTCCTAGAGTGCTGGAGAGACATTAAATTTTCAGATACTCCTTGTAACTGCAGAGCAGAGACCAGCTACGCACCCTGTCGAGCACTTTACAACAAGGACACCCGTAAATGCATAAAGAAGGCCAAATGTTACTTACACCAGAGTCTCTAATTTGCAGTTTGGGTGTGTCAGCCCCTCACACAGCAGCCGCACTCCAGCATCTCCCAGAGATTTATTACAATTCAGGTCCAGCTCTGTCAGGCTCTGGCTGGTTTTGAGAAAAGCGGCGAGATCCCCACAGCCAGTAGCTGTGATACTGCACCCATCCCTAGAGGACAGCCACAACCTGCAGGAGAGAGAAAGGCAGACAAAGGGGATCATGGTGTTAATCAGGCTCTTCACAGCTGTTCTGACAGGTGGCCCCACCTACCAGCCCCTCTGACTGACCAATCAGCATCCAGAATGAGTCAGAAATCCTGCTACAGATTCTGTCCCAAGCCCTACCCCTTGTCCAGTGAGAAACAAGCAGTGTGTGGGACTTCCTGTCTAAACTCCACCCCTTGCCCTTTGCCCTTCACCAATCAACAGGGAGAATGGCCTAGATACCTCGAACCTCTGCCACTGACCAATGAGGAATAAGGTTTGGGGGTAAAACTTCCTTCCTAAGCACCGCCCCCTCACCCTTTCCATTGACCAACCAGAATTCAGAAAGGGTAAAAAGTTGCCCTTTAAGTCCTGCCCACTCCACACTGATCAGCCCCAGGATGGTGTGACCCAATCAGAGCAGCCCCATCGCTACAGGGAGGCTGTAGGGGGATCCCCCTCCCCAGGCAGCTGGGCCAGGCTCAGAGCAGGAGGAGCTGGGAGATCCTGCCCCTCTGCGACCCTGGCACTAGCTCTGCTGCTGTCTTGCAGGACACAGCCATCTCCTGTCTCTGCCCCCAGCTCTGAGCCTCAGGCCTGGTGAGGGGAGGCAGCTGCGAGGCCCAGCACTGGCAGCATCACACCCACCTTCCACTGAGACCAGGGATCAAAGTGGGGAGAGACAAAGAGAAGAAGATCCCCCTGGCAGGGACTTCCCCAGGGTTTGGGGAGGGAAGAGCCCCTGAAAGGATGGTGACTGTGTGACCCTGTTGGCAGGGCCTGTTCCAGAGTCTCTGATGGGGTTATTAAAGGAGAAGTTCTGTTGTTTTCTGTAACCCTCCCTGCAGAACCTGGGCTCCTAATGGAGCTGCCAGCCAGTTGAGTGGGTAACCGTGGCAGCAGACTGGTTATAATCATGTGCATGTGAAGGACTACCCACAAGCATAGCTGTCTTTGCCATCTGTCAAGGCTTCACAGGGAGCCCCCTGCACACCCAAGTATGAGCCCTCCCCACCCTCAAAAGCTGCTAAATCTTGTCCACATGTCGAGACACCCCTCACTGGGTGTGTCTGTCACTTGCATGGTCTCCTTCATCACCTCATTTGCCTTAAAATATTCAGAGGTGTAGCCGTGTTAGTCAGCAAAAACAAGGAATCCTGTGGCAACTTAAAGACTAACAAATGTACTTGGGCATAAGCTTTCATGGGCTTATGCATCTTCATGCATCTCACGAAGTGGGTTCCAGCCCACAAAAGCTCATGCCCAAACACATTTCTTAGTCTTTAAGGTGCCACAGGATTCCTTGTTTTTTCTTAAAAATATTGCTACTTTGCCAAACAGAGAGGGGAACTCCAACATTTGGGAGAGAAAAAAAGCCCCTGAATTTGTACAAGGGAGAGAAGCCCACACTCCTTGGGGAGCCCACGGAGTCTGTAAGGGTTTCTAGAGCCCCCAAGATATTTTGGAAGTAGGAAGAGAGGAGCCTGCAGTGGGTGTGATAGGAGAGATTTTAAGATTGGGTTGAATAGGGGGAGAAAATGGGTAACCATGGCAGCAGTCTGGTTATGACCATGTGTACTTCAAGGACCACCCACAAGTATGACTGTCTTTGTCCCCCAAAGCCTCACAGTGGGTCCCCTCAGCCCTCCTCATGCTACATGAGCCCCCTCAGCCCTAATAGCTGCTAAATCGTGCACATATATTGAGACACCCCTTCCAGCAGAACTGTCACCTGCACAGCCTTCTTCATCACCTCATTTACCTTAAAATATTGTTACTCTGCCCAATGAGGAGGTGTGACCGGACCCCCAGGGTGCAACCCAGGAGTGTGGGACCGCTGTGTCCCCTTTACTGACTATTTTGGGTTGTTTCTCACAATGCCTTACTGGTAGCAAGTAGCAAACCCCTCCAGGTTCCGTTATCACTCAGGACAACCGCATGTGGAGCCCCCCCAGCCAGCTAGATTGCATGAATTCTCCCAGAGCCACTCATGAATCACACAGAGAAAGGCACCAGCCAAATCCCCCCAGCTCCCAGACTCGTACATAGGAATATACTAGGGATGTAAATACTGTTTAAAAAGTTAAGCATTTAAACGATAAAAATTATATCATTTAAATGGTTAACTGGTTAAATGGAGAGGGGCTGGGATCACTCTGACCAGCCAGGCATTGCAGAGGCTGGGGCCAGGGTTCGGCTGGCATAGCATGGCTGGGGTATGTCCGGGGTCTAATGCGGCTGGCACTGGGGCCGGGGGCCAGCCAGGGACCAACGTGGCTGGGGCCAGGGTGCGGCCAGTGCGTCTGGGGCTGGGGTCAGGGCTGGGGTCCGGTCGGGGTTAGGGCATTAAGGGTTAATGTGGGTTAACTGGTAAGCCTAATGCTTACCGGTTAATCTTTTACATCCCTAGTATATACCGTCTTGCACTGCTCAAGACCCTTTCTTGAGAAATGCATGTTTATTAACTGATTCACCACTTCATCAATGGAATGTGGACATCCACCAGCCTTTGTAACCTGAGCAGATTTACCCAGCACTTCAGTCAAGCTCACTGGTAAGGATAAACATTAAACTAAGTTTATTGATTATAAAAGATAGATTTTAAGTGATTATAAGTGATAGGCCAAAAGTCAGAGTTAGTAGAACAATCTAAATCTTTAACCTTAAAACACTAGGCAGTATTTAGAGAAAGCAGTTTTCTCACCCCACTGGATGTTAGAGTTCATAATACATGGGTTTCACCCTTGAAACGTGGGCCAGTCTCCTCTGTTAGAGTCTTCAGCCTTCTGAGCATCGTTGTTGCTTGCATCGTAGGTGGGGGGAGGAGAAAAGGTGAAGCATGGGGCCACTGTGTTCTGTTTTATACCCTTAGTCCATATGCTTGGAAAACATAAGTCCAGGCATCTCTGGTGGGCACTGCTGAGTCACCAGGCAAAGTTGAGCAATTCCCCTGATGTGGCTTTGTGCAAGTGAGTCATTGAATTGTAACTCCCTTGCTGGATAATGTCTGTTAATTGTTATTGTCTTTGGGGACCTAGTATTTGGGCGTTTCCCAAACCCACAGCATATTTTAGTGACCATACAACACAATTTTTATAACTTCATATGCATTAATGATATAAAAATTTAGATAGAACAGTGGGTTTCAGCAGATCATAACCTTTCCCAAGATACCTTTCATGGCCTGCTTTATATGTAATATCACAATTATATACACATAATGAATATAGGGGTTACAGGGCGCTACCCCAGGGTGCAGAGTGTCACAGGAGGGGAACCTCAACATTTGGGAGAGGAAAAAGCCCCTGAATTTGTACAAGGGAGAGAAGCCCCCATGCCTCTGGGAGCCCCTGGAGTCTGTAAGGGTTTGTAGAACCCCCAAGGTATTCTGGAGGTATGAAAAGAGGAGCCTGCAATGGGAGGACAGATTCTAAGATTGGGTTGAACAGAGGAAGAAAAAACCCCAAAGGTGTATGTGGGAATCTGAGGGGATAAACCCTCATTTGGGAAGCGGTGAAGAGAAGAAGGCATTCAAGTTGAAGCAGAAGAGAAGAACACCGCGAGATTTAAAGGCTAAAAGAGAGATAGAGATAGAAGACACCTGAGAAAGTGAGAAGAAAGAAACCCCAAAGTGTGGGGAGGACATGTGAGGGGAATGGGCCTCACTTGGTATTAAAAGGAGACCACCTTTGCCTTAAAAATATTGTTACTCTGCCCAATGGGGAGGTGTGAAGGGATCCACAGGGTGCAACCTGTGAAGGGTAGTGAAGGGAGTCCTGAAGGGAGTAAGGAAAGACACCCCCACACACTCCCACACCCTGATATCTTTGATGGAAGAGATAAGGCTAAGGCGGGGTAAGGAAATACCCACCACGGTGCAGAGGAAGGCAGACCTCCAAAGAAGAGCACTGAAAGGGGGAAAACTGTAAAGGAAATAGGGGAATCCCCTAGAAAGTAATATGGGGAACAGAGGAGAATTAATAAGGATACAGGGAGCAAGACAGAAAGAATTAATGAAGCATGGAGGGAGTCTCTAGGGAGCAGCAGATGGAAAACAGAGAAGATGGAGTGAGGGGAGAATGGCAGGAAAAAGAAAATGGCTAAATTTGATATCTGAAATTTAATATCTGAGCAAAGAGCGAAACAACAGAACAAATAAAAGATTTTTAAAAAGGGAGACAGAGTGGCACTTTGATTTTTTAAAATATTTTATAGTAAGTTTGATGCCAAAATATTGCACTAAGATACACGCTCCCTATATGTTGCCAAGTGTTCAAAAATCACGAGTCAGGCTGCAAAGTGTCTTAAATGGAGCATAATCATGTGACTGTCTTAAAAACCAACTCAAGTTGATGCTGGGTTTTAGAATATAGTTGTGTATGTATCTGTTGGCAATTAATTGTATTTATTTAGGGTCTTGTGGTTTTGATGCACTTCTATATTAACAATATGTAATTTGAGACACTAGAAAGTTTTCCTAGTGCAGAACTCCAGATGAACACCATGAATGCTCTTATTATTCTAATTGCATAGACTTTCAAATATACTGCGAATGGCTTCTGACATTTCAAAAATGTTTGGGAGATGGCCACCCTTCACCTCCAGGCAACCCCACCTGCATTTTGTTTTGCTGCTTCATAACTTTCAGATGTTTGTTTGGTCTGGTCTGGTCAGTAGCCACAGCTTTTTGAATTTTTCTGACACACTTCAACAAATCGTGGTCAAAAAATTCAGCAGTAGTACTGGTTCTAATTTTTAAATGCTGATTGTTAAGTTTGTTATTGTTTAAAAACCATAACCATATAAAAGAGAGGCCGTGTCCAATCCAAAAGGCACATTTCTGAGGCCAAAAACCACAAGAGAATGGGCACAGCTGTCTGCAGGAGAAAGGAGGATCTTGTAGTTAAAGCCCTGGCTCTACCACAGACTCCCCCATGTGACTTTGGGCAAGTCACTCTACCCTTATGGGTCTCAATTTTCAATCTAAAAATGGGAATAATTATATTTCCTTCCCCCATCCTTCGTCTTTCTGGTCTCTTATAGCAGGGTGATGCTATAGTTAAGGTTTCAGAGTAACAGCCATGTTAGTCTGTATCCGCAAAAAGAAGAACAGGAGTACTTGTGGCACCTTAGAGACTAACAAATTTATTAGAGCATGCTCGGGGGTCGCATAACTAGTTATGCGACCCCCGAGCATGCTCTAATAAATTT